CTCAGCCTCCTGAGTAGCTGGGACTACAGGTGCCTGCCACAACACCCAGCTATTTTTTGTTACAGTTTGGCTGGGGCCAGGTTCGAATCCTTCACCTTCGGTATATGGGACCGGCACCCTACCCACTGAGACACAAGTGCTGCCCCTCCCCAGATTATTTTCATTTAATCTTCAAAACTATGGAGAGTAGGTCATATTAATCCTCATTTGTAGATGCTGCTAATGCTCAGAGAAGTAAACTGACTTGCCCAAAGCTGCACACTCAGCAGTGAGGCCAGGCTCTGACTCCAGAGTCCTTGCTCTCTCCACACTGCCCTGATGCTTCCTGAGAATACCCAGCCCTTCTGTAGCCACCTCAGTGTGAGAAGTCCTGTTCTGGAGCTGAAGGTCCTTGTGAACAGACCTCCCACTGTAGAATTTTCAGTACCTGTAGCCCCAGGTGGCTCTGTCCTCCCCTACAGAACCTATGGTCCAACAGCTTTGCACACACAACCCCCTCCGTCCAGGCCCCAGTGGCAACACTCTGCCTGATGGCTCTGCCTGTGCCCTCCTGGCCCCTTACCATGGCAGAGCAGTTGTAATAGTCTTTATGATTTGGCTTCCAGGGCTTGAGGCAGCGCCAGCAGAATCCGTGGTTACATTTGGCACAGGTCATGCTGTGGAGGAAGCTAGCTGGTCAGAAGACTCCTGCCTCTGGGCGGGGTGTGCCAGGAATGCAAAAGGGCTGGATACAGAACTGCTAATGCCCTGGAGTCCGTCCCTCCCCCATCCCAATAGCCTCCTTAATCTTACCCTGCCCTACTGAACACATGCTTGCTTTTGAATTCCCCCCCAGAGTACAGAGTTAAATGCAGGGGAAGGAACATGAAGATCCAGGAAGTCACTAGAGAGTGCCAGGTGACAGCTAGCCTGTGTTTGCTGAGCTTTATGTCCCCTTCGGTCTACCAGGCCTCCCCCCTCCTCCCTTGCCTCTGACTCCCCACAGTACCCCCTCTCTTACTGCAGGCATCCCTCGTTCTTCTCGATGGGAGCCTGACAGCTGGGACAGCGTTTGGAGATGAGCTTGGCCAGGTGCTTGCTCTGGGCCTCCATGCTCATGCCATCGTAGTAGCCACCATCATCAACCCACTGAGACATGTGGCCACAGCTGGCAGGGTAGTGTGCCTACAGCAAGAGGGGGTGGTGAGGACACAGCTGAGCCCTGACTTGAGGGTGGCAGTGTTGGTGTGCATGGGAGAGATGGGGAAAAGACACAGGTCATATCTGGGGGATTCCCGGAAGAGGAACAGAGCTTGAAGGGTAGCAGAGGCTGAGGAAGGACAAGGCTAAGCATGTGTGGCAGGGGGGTGGGGAGTGCTAAGCAGGGAAGGAGTGTGAATCCCTGGTCAGGGTCAGAGCCACCCAGTGGGCATCTACCTCAGGGAAGCTACAGTTGAAGCAGGAGGCCCAGCCGCACTTGGAGCAAGTGGTCCCACAGCCCAGGCCCTGGCGGCACAGGATGCGGTCGCAGCCCTGAGGGTTGGTGCACCAGGTCAGGTTGGAGCAGCTCTCCACATAGCCACGCAGGAGTGCCTTCTCATACTGTAGGGAACAGGAGCCACGAGGTAAGGGCATGGCTCTCTAGAACGCCACAGCTCCAGGCCCCCAGCACCCTACATCTTTGTCCATTCCCTGCGGCCTTCCCCTTTGGCTTTACACTGGTGTCTCTCTCAAATGAGAGGTGATACCTTGGAGATGACCTCTGGTGAGGAGACAATGGCACGAATGAAGGCTCCAGTGGGCTGGGCAGGGCAGTCGGCAATGGGGCAGGTGCAGTTGAGGATAAGGTTCTGCTCGATCCGAGTTGTCAGATACTCATTCCAGCAAGACTGGGAGGGAAAAATGGAGGGGTTGCTCAGAGAAGCATGAGTGCAGCACAGAGGAAGATGTCCTTATAACTAAACTCACATGCCACCTCATCCCTCCCCAACAATGTGGAAGGCCAGAGACAAGCTTGCTTTTTAGATCAACCAACCTCAAAGCTGACCCTCATCTTTCCAGCTGCCATGGGTTTCACTGAGATTGAACCAACTTACAGTTGTCTTTGAGGAAGTATGAGTTAGGGTATTAGCCTAATTACTATTGGGACAGACACAGGGGAATGGTAAAGAGAACCATGAAAAAGACAAGGGTTCAAGTTCTAGGAAAGATATGGAGAGGGCAGAAAGGTCAGAGAGAAGGGAAGCCTGGGTGAATGGGTTGCCTTTCCTTTGGGCAGCTGGCCTCCTGACACTGTGGACATGGCTCTGGTCTCTCCTCCTAGCTCCAGTGGCTTATCTCTAATGACTCTGTCCTGGTGTTTCATCCCCCCAGACTCAGGCCTTGAACAGACTTGGCCTCTTTGCCACAAAACAGACTTGCCCATTGCATTCTCCAAACTGACCAATGCCACCGTCATCCCCCTAATCACCAGTGTCAGAACCTTCACATCTCTCACATTCTTCTCTTGCTCTCATATCACTCTCTGCACTAAGTCAGGTCATTATCCCCTCACACCTCAACCACTGCAAGAGATTATCATGGTCAATGGTCTTTCCCCTGTATCTCCCCAAGCCATCCATTTGGTATAAACACAAGCAGTGGTCTATGCCTCCTAGAATACTCCATTAACCACCCCTGCCCCTCACAACTGCCTAGGGGTGACCTTCCCAAAATTATGGGTCTAACCCCCCAGGAGACCAGGCGTATTGGTGGTTATCAAAATTACTGGAAAAATATGAAGTATATAAGTGAACCATTAGGTGCTTCACTCAAAGCAAAGTTCTAAACCAAACCAAAACAAAACCTTTTTATAGTGAAACAAATTGGGAAACTGAATGCAAACTTCTTGCATTTTTGAGATGAAACAGGAAAATTTTCTCCAAATTCAGACCTTACACTTACAGGCACATACGTGCCTCAGGGTCCCTCATAGCTGAGGACAGGGAAACATTGCCCTGCAGGACCAAATCCTTGCATCTCAGTCTGGCGACACACCCCCACTAAGAAGGCCCTTCTGCTCTTGTCACTATTGTCTGGCCCAAATGGAGCCCAGCCTGCTGCCAATCCTGCCTGCCATGGAGGCTCACCCTGGGGGCCTTACCTAACTGCTCCAGATCCCCCAGCACGCTGCTCTCACTTCTCTTTACATTGTAGTTTGTGTCACTTGGCTGTGACTAATGCACAGGACCTTCTTGGCCGGGGATTTTTCTTTTTTTTTTTTTTTTTTAAGACAGAGCCTCAAGCTGTCACCCTGAGTAGAGTGCCATGGCAT